GCCAAATGTCTTGCAGACTCTTTCATGAACCAGGAACCCCAAAGGATCATCTCACCTTTAGACAAGTTCAGCAGTCCTCTCTCTGTGGGTTCTTTGTATCCAGCTTATGCAACAGTCCAGGCAAGAGCAGTTTCTTGCCCAGATGGCTAACCAACTCCATAAGGAGCCTCTTTGATGCCCATCTTCCTCTTGAAGTAGATTGGTGCTGCCAGGAGCAGACGTGTCTCATTGTCATGGAAAGCCCTAAGTTATTAAAAACAATTTAAATGCCATATTCTGTAGTGTTTGAAAGATATGAAGAATGCCTATTTGAAATATATCTATGCACATCTAGAAAATCTAACTAACATGACTACAAAGTTGACTATTATAGATGATCATCCATTAACAACCTATATTTCCTAATTATACATTACATTTTTAAATTAACTACACAATCACAATACCTTAATCAAGATTAGAAATATGCATATAACAAAACTGACCTTAAACTTGTATTAATAAATCAAGATTTATACCAATGCAAATGATTCATCTCTATATCATATCCCCCTTTAAATGTAAAAGAACATTTATAAACAATATTTGGGAATATGGGCACAGTTATTTCTCTCCAAACTGCTTTGTGGTGTATGGGGACACTGTTAATCAAGTCCTTTATGGTGTATCTTTTGTGTTAGGTTCATCTCAGTCACCAGTTGAGCAAAGTAATTTATTGAGGGTCTTTATGGCAACCTTCAGGAGGGCGTGGTCTATCATACCATATAAGTCTAGAAGCAATCCACAGGGTCTCATCTTCTGTGAAAACAACCTCTTTTCCAAAGCGTCATATCCTTAGACCCAAATTCTGAAGTCAAGATACCTTTATAATATACATCCTGATTTGTCTTAGCAGACCACACAATGAAATGTCTCTCTGTATTTAGCTCCTTCACAGTCAAAAATTGAAAGAAAATACAATACACATAACCACACTCTATGAATTTTTTATTTTTACATGACTTACTTTTTTCTTTTAATTTATAACTCTCTGTACTCTGTCACTTTAAAGACTTTACCCTTTTTAAGGCATTAACTTTACTTTATGACACTCTAATACTCTTTTTCTTCTCTATCCCAAGCCTATGTATGTCTATCTAACACTATGACCCATTTAGAGGTCTGTTATGTCTGAATCTGTCCATTTTCATTGTCTTTAATTCTCCACTGCTTTGAGGAGCTTTTCAAATGTTAAGCAGCTTTATTGCAGCTGCTCTGGACGTTAACTCCACCTCTTTCCAATTTTAAAATGGTGGACATGCCATTTCTGCGATCTCTGGGTCCACCAAGCAGGAGCTGCACTCAGCAGTCCAACCTAGAAATACTTTTTATCTGAGTTACAGCCAAATCTGCCATGCAGAGCACTGCGCATCCTGGAAACATCTCTCTGCATGGCGGCAGAAATCCGCCATGCTTTCCTGCCTGCCTAAGCCTGATCCTGCCATCTGCCCAGGTGGGGAGCAAGCTATTGACATGGTCTCAGAGTACTTTCTTCCCGATTTGAGCAGGCACAGAAACACCCGGGTCCCACAAATGTCATTGAAATGCTTTATAGCCAGAGTTAGCACTGGCAGCACAGCCCAGGAAGCCTCATTTTCAAATGGCACAGCTTTGTTTTCTCCTGTGGCTGCTATTGCTGAGTCGGGAAAATTTCTCTGTGGCACCCCGCCAGCACACAGCAAAAAGCTGTGTTAAACTCCATATTTGTGTCTATAATTCCTTTTAAAGACCTCTCAGGTTTTAGGTGACTTTAGTTAACCACAATGGGCGCCACTCTGTAGTATGAGACAAGCGGCAAACTGTGTCCCACCGCCCGGCTAGCTTAGCTCCGAAGTAATTACACAGAAACTGTATTCGTTTAAAACACTGTCTGGCCCATTATCTCCAGCCCCTTATTTGCTAACTCTCACATATTACTTTAACCCATCTCCATTAATATGTATCACCACTTGACTGTGGCTTACGGGCATGAGTCTAACCAGCATCCGGGAGAATTATGGCGTCTGCCACACTTCCCTTCTTCCCAGCATTCTGTTCTGTCTACTCCACCCTCCTAAGGGCTGCCCTATCAAAAGGCCAAGGCAATCTCTTTATTCAACCAATGGACGCAACACACAAACAGAAAAACCTTCTACACCAGGATATATGGAATAATTTTTCTAGCAGGGCATAATGGCACACCACACGCTCAGTTCCAAAAATCAGGAGGCAGAAGCACGAAAACCTTGTGAGATGAGTTTAAGGTAAGCCTCATCCATGTAACAATCACAGGACTTTCAAGGCTGTATAATAAGACCCTGTGTCAAAACTGTTTTCTCATTAAATGACATAATATCCATTTCCTTCCCAGATTTTCCTACATGCTACAGTACCTGTGTGCTATGTTGAAGTTCAACTGGGTCTTCCTACCTCATTTTGCTCAAATCAAATAGGAACAACTTTTCCTTTTCTTTTTAATGTTTCTTTCATTTGTATTTTGGATGTTGTCTGAATCTAAGAATACCTTATCTGATACTTTGGACTTCCTTATATTTTCTCTAAATGTTCCCCTCTTTTTTTTTAATCATGTGGCAGTTTGTCCACCATATGCCTGACCTCTATGCCTTCTTAAACAGCATGAATATATTTTCCTTTCATCCTCCCTTTTTCTCTGTGAGGTTGCTGAGTTGTATCCTTGTCTGAACTTGAAATTGTCCCTCTTAACTTGAATAGATAATCTTTGAACTTTACTAGAGTTTATTGTCAAATTCTTTTATTAATTAAGATACCCAAGAACAAAATCCAATAACCACAGTATCACCGCTATGAGCTATCAATGTTTATGCCAAGGAAGAACAGAGAATTCTGAGTTGGAGTCATCCTCGTAAGGGAGGCAATGGCAACAGTCTTTCACAGCTTCTCAATAGCTTATTGTAGGCTGATACTGCTGAGAAAGGTAACATCAGATATGCAAGGTCCCCTGTGACAGAAGATGAAGAGATATGTAAATCACCTCTCATTCAATACTCTTTCATCATTTAGACATTGTATCTTAGTGTTACAGTGTCCCTAGTATTCCTCTCCTCTTCTTCTAAAGTGAATGAGATGACCATGCCATAAAAGTATCATCTAATTCTGGTCTCTGTGTCATACAGTCTTTCTGAGTCCATTCTTTAGTATCGCAAAGAGGCCAAAACAAAAACAATTCTTATCACAGATCTCTGGAACCTCTCAAAATGTGTTCAAAATATAGATAGCTATTTCCCATGGAACCTTTGCCTCCCGCTTACTGTAGTAAAGGAGCAGTGAGGCCAATAGCTCACATCCTACCCTTTGTCCCATGTCTTTCACATACTTTATGTTTCTTTTTATACCTTTGTTGATCCTTACTGAACCCTTCCTGCAGGAAACACACATATTTCCTGGGAGCTTAAAATATCTCAAAATGTTTTAAGAGAGTCCTGAGGATTCTCCACAATATATCATCACCACAGATGATAGCTCAGTTCAACAAAAGCCCTGGCCTTCTTACTCATCCTTCCTCTTCTTTGTTATTCCATAGATTGATATGCCACTGGTGCTCTAAATGAGAAATTATCTCTGTATTATAGGATATTTGAATACTTGTTTCCCTGTTGGTTAGTACTTTTTGGGGAGGTATGCATGGTACAAATTTCCTAGAAGAAGTATGTACCAGGGGGTGAGATTTCTTATTAAAAATCTTGTTCTACTTTCAGACTCTTCTCTCTATTTCACAGTTTTTAATGAGGATTTGATTGGCTCAGCTCCACCTCTGACTTCCTTGCCTGTCAGGTTTGATGTACTTATCTGTCCTTGGAACAGTAAGACCAAATAAACCTTTCCTTTTATAAGTTATTTTTTCATGGTGCTTTGTCATAGTAACAGGAAGATAACTAATACACCCTCCAGTCCTTCTAACTTACAGTCAGGCCTCTGCTTCTTGCAAGCAGACATCAGAGGTACCAATTACAAGTAGCAATTTGTATTCAAAGAGAACAGTTCCAAGGATTTTAGCATTATCAGATATATTCAGTTCTGAAAATCAAGTGGGAGGGGGAATCATTAGAGAGGAAATGATGAACTTATCATCAATTATCTTTTCTTGGCCCATCTGTGGATTCCCAATCCCTTGAAAGCTATGAGGAGTTTGAATCTGTGCCCTATTCAAGCTTCATTACATCAAAGCAGAATACGTGATAAAGAGATTTTTAGTTTTCCATTTGCCTGCCACAGGTCATTAAGTTCTGCTTGTAGAGAGATTGGGTAAGAATTTGTACTCAGTGCCACAAAGCACTTAGTTTTATCAAAAAAGTTCCCACAAAGAAGCTGAACCTTCAAACTGAACCCTGTGTGATGATTATTAACTTTTTGAATTTCAGTGAATTGGAGGATTATCTTATTGCAGGTCAAGTGCCAAATTATCTTGAACCATATTTAGCCCTCTTCATAGCCATAAGAGTGCCTTCCTTTTTACCTGACCTAGCATTGCCATGACCATGAGGTGAATCACATGGACTGTATGAGCACAATACTAGTTTTCTTTGGGAATATATTAACTTAGCAGACCTCTAGGTTCAACCTACTCAGATGTTAAGACAGTGTCTGAAGCCTCTAACAGGTTTCTGTGCTTTGTTATAAACCATCTCTTCCTCGTTTCCACCAATGAATTGCAATCATGTCTTGATTTGTCACTTTCTTTGTTCTCTTAGTATAAAAATTTAGTGAACTGCTTAAATGGTAGTTTTTAGGTGACTCAAGTCTGTGATCCTGGGCCATGGTCACTGATATTTTCTTCCAGAATGGGCTATTTCTTGTTCTCTTTGAGGAGAGAGTTATAGTTTTCTATCAGCAGTTAAATGTGTAATTTCCACAATCCTTTGAATATGGGAATATTCTTCACACTCTGAAAGACAAACTGAGCCCTAGGATCACAAGATTGGTGGGACCCAGGAAAGTTCCCCTTAGGGAATTTTAGGATGATGCATGGGAGAGTGTCCTTGGACATTGATAGAATCAATCTTCAAAATCACAGGAAAAGCTGTGAACAGAAAAGGGAAAGGCTGTGAACAGAAAAGATCTTGGTTCATGGAGAGATAGAATTGTTATACTGCCTTGTTTAGGTAAAAGACATTCTTTAAACTCCAGAGTCTTGGAGGATAAAGGCAACCTGGTAAAGTATCAAACAACCTGATAAAACTACTTGTAAGAAAACATGGTGATGAAGAATGAAAAATTTATAAATGAGTCTAGAGGAATAATTGTCATGTTATGGAACATCCATCATCATGCAGCCCTTGTCCACCCTAGTATAGATGTCACTGGAAATCTTTCTGATATCCAGGAAGAGGTAGTTTTAATGTTGAAATTAATCAATGATGAAAATTTTAAGAATAGAAACTGGTTGGATAGGTAGTTCATGGAGCACAGTGTTCATTTAACATGTAGTGATAGATTAGCTTTCTAGGCTCATTCCCAGCATACCATGATCACCATGAACAAATAGGTCTGTAATCCGTGACTATAATTTTAATACTTGGAAGGTGGAAACAAGAGGATCAGAAGTGTGAGATTTTACTAGCACCAGATTCCTGAGCCTCTGTCTATGAAAGCTTTAAATGTTCACTTCCTACAACCTAGAATTGTAGGAAGAATATTTTGGCTAAGGAATTGTGTTGTTGTGGCTGACCTTTTGGTGGATCTATGAACAATCATTTTGATTGTTAAATGAAATGGTAAAATACCACCCTGAATGTCAGTGGCCCTGCTTTATTAGACACTGGGCCCCACACTGTGTAAGAATGGTTAAGAAAGCTAGCTGAACGTCATGCAAAACAGGTAATATGGGTGCATTTGTTTCTCTTTTCCATTAATTATGGATGTGACTTTTGAGTTCCTGCTTTGAGTTTCCTGTATATCCTGGAATTGCAAGGTAAACCAAATATTTATTTCCCTGAGTTGCAAATGAAATTGTAACATTTCCGAAAAACAAAACAAACAGCCAGCCACCCAGTAAGATACAAATGAAAAAAAAAACAAACAAATTTCCCCTCAAAAAAATGTTCTTGATGGGGCCTTAGGAGGAAAGAGACATCTAATTGTATGCAGCAGATTTGAGGATAAAAATGCTATTTCTTCCTCCTTCCTCTTCAGTCTGGAAGCATTCTTAATGACCCTCCCATGCTCCAGCTTTCTGGATACCAGGCTGTTTATACCTGTGTTGATATCTACAGTTTTCTGAAAAGGCCTGCCTTCATACATCTACCATAGACTAATTTCTTGTGATTCCGACCTAGAAGGAAACTAGACTCAAATAGAAGAATTTGAAATTTGATTTCTGAACTGACTAGTGTTGATGATCCCAGCACTAAGGGTCATTGTTCCCAGCGCTTGCGGTAAAGGTGCAAAAGTTAAATTAACTGTGCAAGTGGTAGAGGTGTAATTATTGAAATTAAACCTGCAGACAATAGATATCCATAAGAGGTAATTCTTTTACATTAATCATTAAAGTGAATGGCCCCCTCACAAAGAAAGCAACAAGACCAAACTAAGCCAAGATGAAGGAAATGCTATTCTTAGACTACCAACAAATGCCTAAGTAAATGTCACATTAAAATAATAGAAACCTAATTTTTGCATAAGGAAGGCAAGTTAAATATAAACCATGCTAAATAAAGAGGTAGAATAATTATTCTTTTAATGAGATGCTGAAATGAGCAGTATGGAGAGAACTATACACAAATTCTCAAATACTGTTTATAAATGTTTGTTTACATATAAAGGGGGATATGTTATAGGGATTTGTATTGGTGTAGATCTTGGTCTATTGATACAAATTTCAGGTCAATTCTGTTATATGTATATTTCTGCTCTTGATTAAGGTATTGTGTTTGTGCAGCTCATTTAAAGAATGCAATGTATAACTAAGAAATTTAGGTTAATAGATAGTCATCTTTAATAGCCAAGCTTGTATTCATGTTAGTTTGATTTTCTAGATGTACAGAATCATATTTCACATGAATAATTATTCTTCAAATGTCTCAAAACCTAACAGAATATGCCATTAAAATGCTATAAGAACTTAGAATTTTTATGACAGTGAGACACATCAGCTTCTGTCACCACCACTCTGTTGGCAGAGGATCATGGGCAGCAAAGAGCCTCCTCGTGTAAGTTGTTAGACATTGGGGAAAGAAATTGCTCTTGCCTGAACTTCGTGACTGAAATTGCAGCACCCCAGAAAAATGACTGCTGAAGTTGCCTAAAAAAAGGTGAGACAGTCATTTGGGTTTCCTGTTTTATGAAAGAATCTGTAAAGGACACAAAAAAGAGACTGACAAACTGCCAGCATATGACCATTCAGATTCATTTGTGTTCATGATCTACAGGAAAACTACAGATCTTCAGGAGGCCTGTCAGAATTACACTCAAAAAGTAGCAAAAGACCCTGACTGAGGACACAGATGTTTACGGAAAGTGCAAATTGGCAGGGGGGAAAGGAATATGTTAAAAAAAACTGAAGAAGAACATGAGACTATAATAAAGGTTAGGTAAAATAGAAAGAGATGGGAAGCTAGGGTAAGATGATGCCTTCCTGTCTCCCTTATTTAATATCTGAGAACGTCAACTCATCAGTGGAGACCTGTGAGAAGTTGGCAATGAAAGCCGACTTTTCACATTCCACTTAGTTTCCAGATATTAGGATTATGATACAATCAACATAAATGCTGCTTTTGTCATCTGAAAAAGAGGCAAAATTTACAAACAGCCAAGAAGCTGCAGTGGAGACACACCAGACACAGTGCTAGTACCTTGCCCCTTCTGCTGTGCATGGACCACCACAGTATGGGATTTTAGGACTGGTGCCAGTCCATCATGCTCCACCTGGCAGGTGAGTACCAAGTCTTCCTCATGGACAGATGTGTTCACCAGGACCCAGCTGGTCCAGTTATAGGTTCCATCCTTGTTTACCAACTCAACCGAAATCTCAAAGGGTAGAAATTATTCAGCTGGCAGGTTACATATATCAGATTCCCAACATCTGATGGCTGTTGCTGATCTCCATGGTGGGGGGAACTGAAAAAGTACAAGCAAAAACTGAAACAGACAGAACCTAGTCAGACATATCTCAAATGAGGGGCTAAAGTGAGGAGCATTCAGCCCTGTTGCAAGTGCATTGTGGGGCAGGATGAATTTTTATGCTGAAATAAAACCACTAAACACAGTCCTAGCACACAGGGACACAGATAGTGACAGGGTGGGTGCCAGTAAGTGCCACTCCCCCATGCACTAGGAAAACAATAACAAAGGTCAAACACATGAAACTGCTAGGTATGAGGGGTGGCTCAAAATATAGCTGTGTTTCTTCTGTTGAAATGAATATAATTTCATTTATGTGCTGATCACTGTCTGTGATTCCCACTGTTTGGTATGCATAAATGTTTGCTGGCTACTATGGACCAAAGCATTCTGAACAGATATGAACTTGAGCTAAGACTCAGAGTCATTTACATTGGATGGTGTCAGACAACCATGGAGAGGGCCTCAATGCAAGGTGATGTGAGCCCCTCACAGAGGATATCAGAGTAGATACCCACAGCACCCAGGGCCACCTGGACTGTGCTGAAGACGCTGCAGGTGTTGCTTTTTCCTTCAGGGTTCACAGGAGTTTGGTCATCAAGGGGGTCCTTGATACAAACTGCAACATTATACAGGAATTGCTCAGCCATCTTTTCAGGAGTGACTTATCAGAACCAAGAAATCTGATAAAGGCTAAACCAAAATGCAAGGCTTTTTGGCATTATTGCTTTGTAAGTAGAGTGGCTGTCCTTTGCTGTAGATTTTTCACAGTAGCTTCCTGTTGTGTATTTGGGGATTGATTCCCACAGTTCAGAACTCTTTGGTAAAAACAGTATCCCACTGAAAAGACATTGTTCATCTCTGCTAGTTTAAGTGCAGAGATCTGTCTTCCTACAATTATCTTTACCAGCAGGCATTTGGTCAGTATTTAGGCAAAAGCATCCCACTCATAGCTCTCCAAGGACATGGAATTACTACCTGCCCAAGATGATGCTCTGGTTTTACTGTACAACACCCACAATCAGAAAGGTTGATAACAGCATAGCCCAGAACTAATAATTTAGAGTCCTGGGTCTCTTCTTCACATAGAGCAATAAGTCTAACTTCAGACCTAGTCCTATAGAAACTACAGTGTCTGGTGTATGTGCTATCTGAAAAGAGTCATCAGCTTTCCCTAGGTTGCCTAGTTATCTCACAGTCTCTACAAATACTGGTAGAAAATAAGTTGCATGCAATTTAAACAGTCCATGCCCTATTCACAATTTTATTAAAAATAAATTCTTTAGCTCTTTACTAACCACCTAAAAATGAAATGTAATACACTAACCTTCCCCTCTAGAATCTGCTGATGATTTAATTCCTTTATTAACTAACTTTCTCCATTAAGGAGTTCACCAGAAATGTACTAACCACTTCCGTTTATGCGTGTGTGTGTGTGTGTGTGAAAACTCTTATCTGATTTTTTATTTGACAGAAGAATTCTGGCCCTGGAACCTGCTAGGGCTGTGGAATTGTTTGTTTTAAGTGTATATATGACTGGGAACATTTGGTAATGGGAAGGATAAAGATGAACAAGTAGAAATAAGAACAAAGAGAACAAAGATTACAAGTAGTAGGTGGAGCAAGAAAAGTGATGGATTGATGAGAGAAGAATAAAGAAACATGGACAGACGATTCCTGTTGAGTAGACTTCTTACCCCTCACATATTTACCCTCAGATTTCTAGCCCCCATCTAGCGATCCGTGGTGTCTTTAACTGAACCTTGAAAGTGAGTTGGAAAGGCAAAAACCTTTTAAGGCTCCTATTGAATCTCATTTCTGTCTTTGAACCACTTCACTGTGATGTTCTGAGGAGAGAAGTCAATAGATTTGCATGTGAAGCTAACAGTCTCTTCATGTGGAGCTCTGGCTACAGGGTCTAAGACTACATGAAGAGATGGTTTAGCTAAAAATGAACATTTAACAAGGATGTGATTGTGGTGGCCCACTGATGACATAACATTGTAAAGAAACTTCCTAAATACTATTACCATCTTCATTTATTGTGGTGCCTAGGAATAATACCAGACCTTTAGCCATAGTAAGGACCTGCTCTACTTCAAGGTTATAGCTATGTCTGAGCTACAGTAATCAACTATTCATTCTCCTCATGGTTATTTTTCTGTTTTTGTATTGTTTGTTTTTTTGTTTTACATGGTTTCTTCCTTATCTTTCTCTGGTATCCCTTGTTCTTCTTTCTCCACAGTTTAGCATAGATGCTGAGGTGAAAATGAGGAATGAAAATGTTGTAGTAATTTTCATTCTAGACAAAGGTAATGCCAATGTATTTCATATTTTATAACTTCTCTTCCTGCTGGCCTTTTCTTGAAACATTGAAAATCTAGGGGAAATGTTTGTTAATTTATATCTATAGTATCTCTGGAAATAAGCGACATCACAGAAGGGCCACAAAGCTGGAACCCTTTCTGCTTCCCCCAGTTCTTTGGGGTTTTTTTTGTTTGTTTGTTTGTCTTGGGTTTTTTTTTATTTTTGGGGGTTTTTTTTTTGGTTTTCTGTTTTTGCTTTTTACTCTATGCTGGTAGGACTCATCTGTGCCAAGCCTGAATTTAACACTGAGAGCTCACTAGTCTGTATCTCTAAATCAGCTTTGTTAGGACTTAGTTTTAGATTGAAAACAGTGATTTACCCTCTGCAGAAGAAGCTATAGATGGTCCATTTATTAATTGATAATTGTAAGAGACATAGAGAGAAGCCTATTGAGGAGACAAAATTTCTTCTTGGTTTAAAGCACACTTTTGGTTAGACTAACGGGAGGAAAGCAGTGGGCTCCATAGATGCCTTGTGCTGAGGTTATTATGTGTAACAGGGTGTATTTGAAAATATACACATTTGTATTTGTAGATCTGTGACTCCCTTTCAAATGTCCATCAAACCAGGAGTAGATACAAATGTTATTTGAAATCAAGTTATCTAAATGCTATCATAACTTATGTCCCTATGGGTTCGAAGGACTATAGCCAGCCACCAATTATTAAAATTTCAGGGTATCCTGACATTGTCCAGATTCCAATGACAAAATCTTTGCTTGGATTAAGAGCAGAGTATGTTCATGGACAAGCTACACCAGCTAAAGTATGCTCACCCCATCCATAAAATGGTAATATCCTTATAAACTATTTAACCTTCAAATACATCAGACCTGGTCCACAGGGCATGTTTCTTGTGGTGAAGACAGTGGGTATATGAGGTTATCTGCTGTGTCACTGCATGAGTAGCCACAAACTCAAACAAATAAAACATCTATGACCCGGGATCTGCTGGAGTGCTATGCTTTTTCTTTAAGCAGAGAATAGTTCTTGGTTCTAATATGGACTGTGAATTATGGTTGACATTGTTGTAACTTTCTTTTTCTATTTTTTTATTAATTTTATTGATCTATACATTTTCTTTACTCCCCTCCCCTCTAGCATCTCTCATGATCCCCATGTCCCCAACTCTCTCAGGAGAACTTTTCTTTATCTACTTCCCATGGACATTAGTCCAAGTTTGTCTCTTGTAGGGTCCTCTTTGTTGTCTAAGTTCTCTAGGATTGTGAATTGTAGGCTGGTTTTTCTTTACTTTATGTTTAAAATCCACTTATGAGTGAGTACATATGATATTTGTCTTTCTGGGTCTATATTACCTGACTCAATATGATGCTTTCCAGATCAATCTATTTGCCTGCAAATTTCAAGTTGTCATTATTTTTTTCTGTTGTGTAGTACTTCTTTGTGTAAATGTACCACATTTTTCTTATTCATTCCTTGGTCGAGGAGCATTTATGTTGCTTTCAGGTTCTGGCTATGACAAGCAGTGCTGCAATGAACATAGTCGAGCCTGTGTCTTTGTGGTATGATTGAGTATCCTTTGGAATCCAAAAGTGGTATTGCTGGGTCTTGAGGAAGTTTGTTTTCTAATTTTCTGAGAAATTGTCTTACTTATATCCAAAGGGGCTGTACCAGTTTGCATTAACACCAGGAATGCAGGAATGTTCCCTTTAATCCACATCCTCTTCAGCATAAGTTGTCATCAGTGTTTTTGATCTTGGCCATTCTTACACGTATAAGATGAAATCTCAGAATTGTTTAGATTTACATTTCTCTGATGACTAAGGATGTTGAACATTTCCTTAAGTGTCTTTCAGCCATTTTAGATTTCTCTGTTGAGAGTTCTCTGTTTAGGTCTATACTCCAATATTTTTGTTTTATTTATTCTTTTGATGATCAATTTCTTGAGTTCTTTGTGTATTTTGAAGATCTTCCCTCTGTCTGCTGTGGGTTTGGTGAAGATCTTTTCCCATTCTGTAGGTTGCAGTTTTGTCTTGTTGTCTATGTTCTTTGCTTTACAGAAGCCTCTCAATTTCAAGAGGTCCCGTTTATTGTTTATTAATAATTAATATTATTAATTTTATTATATCCTATTATTAATTAACAAAAAATATATTCTCTCAGTGTCTGTGCTACTGGGGTTATATTTACGAAGTGAAGACCATGTGTTCAAGAGTACTTCCCACTTTCTTTTCTACGCGGTTCAGTGTGATTGGCTTCATATTGAGGTCTTTGATACGTTTGTACTTGAATTTTCTGCATGATGAATCTATTTTTATTCTTCTACATGTTGATATCCAGTTATGCATTTATTGAAAGTGCTTTCTTTCTTCCCTTTTATATTTTTTGCTTCTTTTTCAAAAATCATGTAGTTGTAAGTGTGTGGATTAATATCTGGTTCTTTGATTCATTCAGTTCCATTGTTCCTCCTGTCTGTTTTTATTCCATTACCAGGCTGTTTTCATTATTGTAGCTCTGTAGTAGAGTTTGAGTTCAGGGATTGTGGTGCCTCCAGAAGTTCCTTTATTGTACAGAATTTGTTTTGACTATCCTGAGTTTTGTGGTTTTCCATATGAAATTGAGTAGTGTTCTTTAGAGGTCTGTGAAGAATTTTGCTGGAAACTTTTTGGGCATTGCATTGAATGTGCAGATTACTTTTGGTAAGTATTTTTGCATCCGTGTTCACGAGTGAGATTACACTACTGAATAGTATCATCTGATTGAGAGGAACACCGTCACACCTTGTGGATCTGATGATGAATCAAAAAATTCTAATTCCGTATGTCAAATGCACCTAGCTCCTAAGTGGAGATGATGTCTCTGGATTGGATAGCAAGACGCTGAAGTGGAGTCAGTTGTGGATTCAAGGTCAGTTCTTAGAGCTAACTGGCTATGGAATTATACAGGGAACTGGCACATAGGGTTAATATCTCAAACAGAGCAGGAATGGATAATCTGACAGTCCTACTTGATGGAATATTCCCAGAATCAAGACCTAAAAGGAAAGAATTCAGGCTTGTGTCAGGAAATTTAAAGTGAGTGTCCTGTTTTCACAGCTACTGATTAAAGGGCATCTACATGCACACTCTCTCCAGAACATGAGCCTACATTGCCTGAAACCTTCAGTGCCTGTCAGAGTTGATCCCCGAAACAATTTCAGACAGACCCACAGTGAAGGCCAAGCTTGCTGTTGACATTTAAACCTGGACTGAGAGATTCCACAGCAAATTCTGTATCTTGAAGTTTCACAGTGTACTATGGATAAAGAAGAAATGAGAAGAGCACACTCAGTCATGGCCCTGTTACTTTCTGCCTTAGTGTGCTTTTCTCTTGGGCACATCTTGGGTAAAGAGCTCCAGCTTGCCTGCCTCCTGCCATCTCTGTTGACATCTAGAATGCAACCTAGCATAACCAATCCTTGGGTCATTGGGGGCAGAAAGGGAAGACTCAGCCAGGAGAAGAAGTGTTCTCTGGAGGCAGTAGTCCAGGTCTGAGCCTGTCACTGGACAAGGCAGTCAATGCAGAAGGATATTTATACAGCGTCTAGGAGACCACAGCATGAGAAAGGTAAGCACTGCTGACCTGGTAGGCAAGGGTATAGATTTATCCAATTCACCAGAAAAAGGACCTGTAGCAAACAGCTTGTTTTCTGTTCTCTGCTTCCTTGATCCACAGTTGGGGTAAAGTCACCCTATGAACATGTGGGCCACTTACAGGCTTGCTTCTTCCTGGTTGCTCACAGAATCTTAGACACATTTTGACCTTTTGGAGATAATCAGGGATGAGAATGACAATGAGGAACTTACCATGCACATACTACTCGGTGCCGCCCCCAGATCGAAACTCCTTGTCAAGGTTTCCTCTTTGTATCTTCACCCAGTAGTAGGTACCAGCATCAGCGGGTGTGACATGACTGATGCGGATGGAAAAGATTTTTCTCTTTGAAGTATCTGTAACATTTGTGACTCTTGGAAACGTCTCTTCTGTGAAAGGATATATAAGCTTCCGATTGTGCCCTACACCCTTGAACCATATAATGGGTCCCACAGGGTAGAGGGCAGTCACAGGGCAGTTCAGAGTGACTGACTCTCCAGCAGAGACAGAAACTGATTTCTCAGACTGAATCACCTGCATATTCTCCCAGGTATCTTCTCCGCAAGAAACATCAGTTAGTGTTCATCCTAAAGGGAACTGAAAACTCTACAATTTATGATGAATGTTACTTAATAGATCAAAGCAGGCATGTGATCACAGCTCCCCTCATTTGGGCCTCTTAACACAAGTATGTAACACAAATGAGGAAATGAATCGCAGAGACACTGAGAACTTTGCAGTATTCTGATTGACGTCGTCCAAATTCTGTATGAAATTCTCATACTTCATACAGTGTCTGTTTTGCTTTCATTTTCTGTTTATATGACATGAGGCACTTCTTGTGTAATAGTATTACATGTGATGACTTGACTCTTTTACCCATAAGACATGAACAAAAGTCTCTTGTATAGTTAGTGAAATGTACATTTGATTGCACAATTCTCTGGGGCAGGCCTACAGCTCAGGATGGAGTTGTTTTACCAGATAGAGTGCTAATGCTATGAATAGATCCCACCATGAAATAACGTGTCCCTTAATGTAGTGGGATTTCATTTGTATTTTAATAAATAAAATTTGCCTGAAGTTAAGAGTTAAACAACTACACTAGTCAGCCTTTCAAACCAGGCAGTGGTGACACACATCTCTAATTCCAGTAGCCACACCAGTTTGCCATAGAAACCAGATAGTAGTGGTTCAAGTCCACTTTAATGCCAGCACTAGAGAGGAATATAAGATGTGAAGGGACAGTTCTCAGCTCAGTCTCATTCTGAGGATTCCTGGAGGCAAGATTGCTATTTCTCACTGAGGTAGAGGTAACAGTCAATGAATGATTGCTTTGCTTTTCTGGTCTTGAGGTTGAACCCCAATATCTGTCTTTAGAATTTTATTAATCTTGATACACCTTAATTAGAGAAACAAAATCTCAATTTTAGCTACCAGTTTTAAAATATATATTATAAACACATTAATTGATTTATTGATTGATTGGTTGATTGATTTTATGTGTATGAATGTTTTGCCTGCATGTATGTTTGTGTATTAAATGCATCCCTGGTGCTCAAGCAACCCAGGGAAGGGTGCCAGATTCCCTGGTATTGATATTACAGATGGTTGTGAGTCACCATGTGCATGCTGGATATCAAACTTTGGTGCTCTAAAAGAGGAGAAAGTGCTCTTATGTCCTGAACCATCTCTCCAGACCCAGCATTATATTAACCTCAAGGATGATATAACAGATTATTATAAAGTTAATGGTTTGACACAAAAGAAACGTTTTATCTCATGTTTTGGAGGGCTACAGTCCTCATTTGCTGTGACAAGGCAATTAGAATGCTGTCACAGCACCACACTCTCCAGGTGGTACTGTTTCTTTCCTTGCACATGATGTGGTCACCTGGATGTATTCTCTCTTGTCATCTGTCTTCCCATCATTGCTCTCTGTTTGCTCAGTAACTTTGCTCCCATGACTCAGACACTTCTGACCTCTTTGTGCCTTTATTTGGTGATCTGGTAGGACTGAACTATACTGCTGTGTGTTACTGTACGGAACCAAGACTGTGCAACAGACATTTGAAACATGAAAAGATCAAAGAAAAGTATAGAAGTATAGAAAAAAACTAAAGAAAGTGAATTATCTGAATAATAAAATACAGCATCAAATGGAAAGAAACTGTCAGAAGGAACCAAATGGTATTGAAGGATTGAGGAGGATATAACATGTGAGTCCAATGGACAAAGTTCAGAGAGCATTTAGCAAGTTCCCATAAAATAGTATGTATGGCTTTCTTTTTCAATAAGCTTGCCTAAACATTGTGGCAGTCATTACTCTGCAACATTTCGTATTAGCATAGATGTTCTAACATAACAAATAAAAAATTAAAGTGAAATAATGTTTTACACTTATAAAGTAGTTTGATAAATTTACTTCTATAAAGGTAAAATGGTAATCATGGGAGATTTGAAAATCCATGGCATGTTCCCAGAACCCACCTCAGCCACTCACAAAGAACTAAAACAGTAGTCAGTTACAGTTTGAGGCAAAGTATTATGCACAAGTGAAGGAAGTCATCATGGGAGGAACTAGTATCTGCCTTTCTGTGAGGACAGCACATAAAACTGAACTAAATATCCTGACAACTGGCATCTGCTTTGCAGAGTGAATTTGATAATCTCAGCTAACTCTGCTCACATAGATGTGAGTGATCATAGCTAGTAAAGGCATCCAGTCATTATAGGTTTCGTTAATTTGGGAAGACCAGCTAGAGTTCACACAGAATCTTTGCTTTTGAGAAACTCCATCCTTCTTCCCTGTCCCATCCCCAGAACCCAGGCTGTAGTAGCTATGTACTATCTAAGCATGGTAAGTGTTTCTGACTTTACACTAGTTGGGTTGTGGAAGGTCAGAGAGTACTTCACATCCTCTTCTGAAAGTCCACAAAAATCACAGAACACTTGTACAAGGGTTGCAGCCTCATTTTTCAGTTTTTCCTGCAAAACTGTCAGGTATCCTATGGTACAGGAGACAAGTTTTTCCTTCAAAGAGGATACTAGAGCATCTTACATAAGAATAAGAATGAGAGATATTGGATATCATTTGTCAAAGGCTATGCAACCTTGCTGCAGGTTTTGTGTTAATGCTAGGACTGGGAACTGGTGGACATGCAGTACTTGCCACCATTCTTCCCTTAGGCTCTATCTTCTGTCGCACTGCAAAAGCGCTGATCGAGCAATATAGCAGGTGCACTGTATTCCTGCTCTGTCTGTACTGAGTATGGGTTCATGCCATTAGCAGTGTTATGGGCAGGTGGCTTGGGCCCCTATTTTTCCTAGGGCTATCAATGCCAAAGTCACTTTGTCACATCTGCGTTTAACTCTGTAACTATTGAAGAAATATCAATTTACTGACACCATCATTCCCATCATTGGACTATCTGCACATTGGGTCTCCCATCCCCTCTGTCGTATAAAGCCACTGCTGCATCCATCTATTTAAATATTTTATGAGACCATGTCTAAGAAACTTGTTGTAGATTAAGAAAGTAAGTGTAAGCAAACAAGGTATTCTTGTCAATTAGTGCTTTAATAGGCAGGCTGCATTTTGCAGTTACAAAAAAATAAATCATTTTATTATTTATCTCAAAAGGTAATCTCATAAAAAAATCTTAAAAGAATAGCAAATCTAAATTTCTATATATAAAAATCAGTCACTTCTAGTTTAAGTCCTCAGAGTACACAACCACTACTTAACAATATTTTTCCATTATACCATATCAGGGAGCTGAATGCAAAAAAGTGAGGAGAAAGAATTAGTCATCACCTTTGGACACCAACACATCTTTATCAAGAAAGGCACTGCATTTCTTCTTGTTCCTTGACCTCAATACTCAACTATCAAAATTGTGGCCTTCTAAACTTTAAATTGTTCCCCAAGATTTTCTTCATTAAAGCCATTACCATAACATCTTAAGTTAACTTTACTAACAATCTACATCTCTGAATTCTTTCTAAAGGTGGTGGTTAAATCATTAATCTGCTCCAGCAACAACTGGAAAAAGTCGATCTCTATTATTCTAAGTACCAGTAATACTTCCCAGTGAAGCTCTAGAATCCCCCTTTGAGTTTTCATACAGCTCATAAATTATGAGGTCATGGTGATCGCAAGTGCATTAAGCAGAGCTATGCTTACTGACAGTATGACACACAGTCCTTAGGAGTCTGCCTCTCCAAGGCTCACCCAGTGGTGTTTATTTTGAGTGTTAGGCAGTATTCCATGAAAGCTGTTTGCTGTTCCTCTCAAATGGTCCCTGATATCTTTTAGTTAGAAAATCACTTTAAAACTCATGTCCAGCCATAGTGCTTGTCTATTGCAAGCTTGCACTGACTCCCATTCACCTAGAGTGTAAGCATGATTCATGAACATGGAATGAAGCCCCACTTAGTGCCTTTGATCTTGCTGCTGTTTTCTGTGAAGTTCTTCTTCTACAGTGCTTGGTCACGTGTCTCACTTTCACATTTTCTTTTTCTTTTTGTTCATATTTCCTCTTCTCAGTGATTTGCACCAACACACTCAGTTTTCAACATCTAACTCCCTAAAGAGTCCGATTTTTTTAGACAATTGGACACATTTCCATGTATCACTTTTTACAATATCAAGATTTCTCTTTTACCCTAACTATTGTCACTTCCTCTAGTAGAATCTAGCTCCACATTGGTTACTGTGTTGCCATTCCTAGTCCCCAGTACAGCACATGTTCCTACGATAGTCTCTCGTTCATAGTCAGTATCCAACAAATTCTTCCCTACATATGATTTGCTTAGTATGACATCTTCCCAGGTCACTGAAAGTGAAGTAAAATAGGTATTTCATTTAGAAATACAAACACAGTATTCAATGGGAATGACCTTTACATTAAAAAAAGCCATTTTCATATAAAGGGGAGTTTATAAATCTAGTAGCAGAAAACCATAGACCCTGTCCTCACTTTCTCAGGCTAAAACTCAGGGGATAGATATAAGTTTCAGGAAACAGTGGTTGTTAATTCCATGACCTCATTCAAACAGCTTGAGTTAAACCAGATGTTGGCATTTGGGTTGTGGATGCTTCTGCTTATTTTTCTGTGTTTGTGGCAATGAGACAGGAACATTCACCTGAGATGTAGGTCCACATGAGGTAGAACCATGTAATACTTCACACAATATCTGAGACATGGTGAAGGTTCATGACATTGAAAAGTAATTTCTCTGGTGATTACTTGAGTCATGGACTCAACGTCAACTGATACTGGATGATCTGTATAGTTTCATGAAGTTGGTCCAGCTTATTGAACTGTATATAGCTCTAAATACGAACGCAGATTTGGATGGAATTACAGTTTGCCATCTTAGCTTCCTATTGATGTGAAAAATACCTGAGATCAGCAGTTCAAAGGGATAAATATTTCTTCTGACTCACTATTTCTCAGAGTTCAGGGATTAGTGGGTAGACTGGCTCCATTGTTGTGTTCTTAGGTGAGGCAGAGTCTCCTTATGAGGATAGTATG